GGTAAGTCACACAGAACCAGTTAAAAAGATTAAAGTTAATTCAGTTTCTTTAGTTCTATAAGTTTCATCAAACCCCTCTGATTACATATTTCCTTTCAATATTGTTATACTGAAAGCCTGAAGAAACACACCAGAAACACAAATCAGTCTCCTTCCACATGAGCTTCATGCACATATGTTCCATATCAACTACTCTTAAAAACTTAAGGTTTACTTGATTGCTGCAAAAGTCTCCAAGACTTACAGAAGAGAAAAAAGGATAGAGGATTCTTTAGTTGCCAGCAGCATCCAAGCATAAGAACAGAAATACAAATACTATACTGCAGCGATGAATTATTTCTTTCCAACTCCCAAATCTGTAGATCAATTTCACTGCTGTTTCTGGATGACTTTGTGATTCAGTCCTTTCCACTACAGGTACTTCACAGATTGTTTCTAGAGGCCACAGCTTCTTAAGACAACAACATGGAAGGTGTTTCAGGCTTACAGAAAGTCCAATACTTCAAATTTGTCAAGATCACAGACTATCTGCAAGTGCTACAAATACCTTTGTCATGAATGTCTAGTCAGTTTTTGGGAAGGGATATTGACAGTTATGGAGAACCAAGAGTGAGTCCAAGTTAAGTGAAAAACTTGGTGTCTACAAGGAAAAAAGAAGAGGGAACACTAAGAAAAGACACCAGAGCATCATTTGCTTTTTAGCTCTGGCTTCATGTTTATCCAAATAGACAACGGTATTTGTCAACCTATGCAGCTACAGATCCTCAAACAGAGAGGCACAAAAACCAACACAAGATGGTTAAGCCTTCAGTGATGAAAACTGCTGGCATCAAAAAACGGATTCTTTGCACTGAAGTGTTTTAACTTAACTAACGTTTTAACTAGGATTTAAAAAAACCTCAACAACAAAAACCCCTTGAACTAAAAAAAAAAAAAACAGGAAAAAACCTCCACCCACATGCCTGAAATAAACTGAAATTATATAAGAGAAACAAATGAACAGTATTTAGACCTTCTGCAAGGAGGTTTATAGACAAGCTGTTATAGACAACCAGATCACAGACAATCAATATATCCAAATACCTGTTCATTTTCAATACTGTTTAATAACTGCAGCATGCAAGCAACCTGAAGCTTTCAAGAGTTACTCCAGGCTCTAGCCAGGTAAATCTCACTTACTACATCCCTATTAACTCTCCTCTTCAAAGTCCCCTTCCATTTACTTTCCCAACTAACCTGTGTGTGATGCTCACATCCCACTCAGCTCTTCTCCTGATCCCATTTGCTGTTCCCTCTTATCCCTGATGGTCTTTTCCCATTCTCCATCCCCCAGTTATTCAGGTGAGGGTACCAGGTCACTTTGTCCCACTGCTTCAGTAGGGGAACACTCTTCCCCTTGGTTTGAGGGTGTCAGGCAAACCTCTGCTCAAACTCAGCAAAGAGCAGCAGCACAGGGAGATGCTTTCAAGTACAAGTGAGAAACATCTGCCAGGCAAGGTCTCGTTCTAGTTTTAGCCAAGGATCATAGAATTTTTAAAGTAGTAGTAGTAGTTTAAACATTGGGATCTAGCAAGAAAGCGTCAGCTGTAAGAAGTTCTTCCCCCAAATAACCAGAAAAAAAATCTCAGGGAAAAAAAAGCCCAAAATAAAGACTAACAGACACTCATTGAGGGGGGAAAGCCCAAACAATCAAACAAACCCAAACAACCAAACCCCAAACCAATCACTACAGCCCAAAAGGTACACTAAAATCAAAGAGCTACCATTACTAAAACTAGATAGGAAAGCCTTTTTGGTCAATTCAAACTTGTTGAACTGTTGATTTAAGGAACACTTAATGCTCAGCTGCAAAGTCAATTAGCTGCTTTAGATTCATGGCAGACTTTGATATTTAATATTAGCTGTAGGCATGAACCTATTTGGAAGAAACTTCAGTTTTCAAAGTTATGTTTATTCCCGTTTACTTAATCCAACTTGGCTCAGCATATCAAACCACAAATACAGGCTTATTTCTCGTTTGGAGAAAGCGTGCACCAAACAGGTCATGGCTCAGGATCTTGAGAGCCATAAAATACAAGGTCATGCTTTAAATTCCCTTAGTAGAGGATCTGACAAACCTTTCCTGTTTGAATTAACCTTTGTTGAAACATCAGACTTTCAGTTTTACTGTGTGTTTTACCTCTATTCCACCTACCACTGCTTTTTTGTCATACATAAATACCACATCATACCATTTTAAGAAAATGAGAATTTTCTTGTTTCCTTCTGATCTGATACAGACAATCTAAGCAGAGCTGACTGGAAAGTTGTGCCTGTTAAGGAGAGTGCTGGAGAAGCTACAGCATAATCCTCACTTAAGAGCACAGATCTGCAGGGAACACATTCCACTTGCTATGAAAGAGCAACACTAAGCTATGAAATAACACAAAACAAAATATCCAAAGCCCAGTTGGTAACTTTCTGATACAACCAAAACACTCAATTTTAGCAAATCAAGTGCAAAAGCGCTTAAGACAGACTTCAGAACAACAAACACCATGGAGGTAGAAATTCAAGGAATGAAGCATCTCCATCCCATTTGGATGCTAGCTTTCTGATATATTTAGCTGTTTTCTTAGAAACTCCTAGAACTGAGCAGCATGGAACAAAAATAGCCAAAATGATCTTGACTTTTTTCCTTGCAGCTTTCTCCCTGTCAAAGGATCCAAGAAAAGGGCAGTCAGTAGGTTCTCAGCGTCCCATTATAGACTAAGTTTGCATCTTAGTTAGCCTATGATATGATACAATAATCAATTCCAGAAACACCTTTTATCCTCCAAATGAAACTAATACTTTTTAGTAGTCAACAGCACAGAAACATGCAGGCTGCTTGCATGGTTTGGACGTGCCAACAGCTTTCACATCCTAGAGTTCAAGAGGAATAAGCATAGCTATCTGGTCTATTGCAGATTTATTCTTTCATAGAAGGTATTAAACAAGATAGCTGTCTCACTTCTAACTTCTTCATAAAGCCTGTATAGTAATATCTGATTTCAGACTTCACGAATAGAACTTTACATTTTGAAGTTAACTGCTTCAATTCTATCCAGGGAGTGCTTTGCAATATTCAAAAATCAACACAAGAAGTTTTACTTTTAAGACTGACTATCCAGAATTTTATTTTAATAAAGGTGTCAAACTTTGATACTTTCTGCACTCCTAAAGAGTTATATCAATTAGAGAACTTCAAATATCATCTATCACTTGCAGCAGATCAACTTCGGAGGGCAATAGCGAACCACATACCACTGTGAACGTGATCTTTAAAATCATCTTAAACATGTACTACTTATACAGTTCTAATTTTCGGATTATCTCCTGCCTCAAGACTAAAGTTTCCATAACCACAAAAGTAAAATTTGTGATAGACAGCTACTATCTTATTCTTGGACTATACATTCTTATTCAGACTTGCAAATTAAAAAAAATTAAATACTTCTCTATTTCAAGGCCAGTCCTGAAACGTGGATGAATTCACAATTAAATCTGTTACTTAGCATGGCTGACATGATCACATACTAAAGATTGAAACAAATACAACCCTTATTCCTGAGGAGATTTGTTCAGCTTAGGCATTTTTGCTTGGCTTATTAGAATCTTTAAAGAGTTTAGCTCCTCCTCCCCTAATGAGTTGAGAGAGTTCTGTAATAATCTTCCTGCAAAAATAAAGATTTATTTCTCCTAGGCAGCAAACATAATTTCTACTACTGCACAGCTGTCTCAGAGGAGATCCAAGGGGCTGACTGTTCCATCTCATTTCTGGAACAGCTGCACCATATGGTGCTGTGCAGAACTCTGCAAGTTTAATAAATCCATTTCTGAAGGTCTCTGCACACTCTTCTGCGGCGAGTCTGACAGCAAAAAAAAATTCTCTTAAGTTCAAGCGGAATACGTATTATAGTGATTATTGTTATTGTATGCACCGTACAATAAAGATTGTCAGGCGGGCTATCTTTTTCCAAGTGAATCTACTTCGCATAGGTGTGGTTATAATTGCGAAGAGGAACAGCAAGACGTTTGTTAATTAAACTAAGTTTTGAATATCATGAGGTGCTAGACTGCGCCGTGCGGCTGCAGCAGCAGCACCGCGTGAGCGCCCGGCCAGACAGGAGCACCCCGAACCTGTTACACGTCCCGGGAATTGCCGGCATAGCCCTGCAGCTCTCCCGGCTCACCAGGAGATGCCTTGCACAGGCTGCGAGGGACCAGCGCTCCGGGTGTAGCTGCAAGGAATCGGAACAGCACACACGCGCTTTCCCATGAGTCCAAGGAAAGCAAATTGGGAACACCGAGAGCGACGCGACAAGGAACGCCGGTGCCATGAGTCCCCGGTTACAACCCTGCACAGCCAGAGTATAAATCACCCACGTCCAGCCACGGTGATGTCATATGCACACAATCTTTGTAATTCTAAATTCCCTTACTCCCCACACACCCTCTTCCTTCCTCCTGTTCAACAGAGCCTGGAAATGCAGCAGCTTTTGCGATCTGCCCGAACACTGCCACCGAGTCACGACTCCATAGCTAAGGAGAAACGAGCAGCCAGACTTCTCCACCTCAGCCAAGAGCACCCGGGTGCTCTGCCACGTTTTCCTCTCGTTCCCCGACCCCCTCTCCGGGACCCGGGCAGGGCCGGGCGCTGCCGGGCAGGGGAGGCGCTCCTGGCCCGGGCGGGGACTCGCGGAGCGGCCGCAGGCTTGTCCCGCGGGCGGAGGTCCCGGCCCGAACCCGGAGAGCCAGGGCTGTGCCGGCGCCGTGACAGCCGCGGGGAACTTTGCCTGGGGCGCGGCGCGGGCCGAGCCCCGCGGGGCCGGCGGGACCGCGCTGCCCCCGCCGCCGGACAAAGGGGCCGCGCCTCGGGCCGCCAGTGCCCCCCCGGGTGCCCACCCGGGCGGAGCGGGGGCACCGAGGGGACAGGGATGCGGTGCCTGGCGCTCCCCGCCCCCCCGCCCGCCGCTCACCATCCGGGAACTCCCGGTCGCTGATGTGCTGGAGGTGGGGGCCGCCGCCGCCGCCGGGATCCGAGTCCCCCGACTCGGCCTCCGCCGACCCCGAGCCTCCGCCGCCGCCGCCCGCTGTCGCCGCCGCCGCCTGGTACGCGTCCGCCCAGCGATCAGGCCCCGGCGCTGCCCCGCCGCCGCCGCCGCGGGCCCGGCTGAGCTTGGGGCTGGCGTCCGGGGATACGCAGCAGGTGACGGTGTTGCCCATGGAGCTCGGAGCTCCCCCGCCGGGCCCCGGCTGCGCGGCTCCGGGCTGGGCCGGGGGAGGGGAGGCGGGCGCAGGGCGGGTCGGAGCGCGGGGCGGGCTCAGCGCCGCCGCCCCCGCCCCGGCCGCGCGCGGCCCCGCCCGCCCCCACGGCCGCGCGACCGCCCCGCCGCCTCCTGCGCGCGGCGAGCACAGGCCTGGCGCGAGCGGCCGCCGGGGGGAGCCCGGGCCGCGCCCCGCCACCGCCCAATCGCCTCCCGCCGCGGCGCCGCGTGACGGCCGCTCCGCCAATGGGTGCGGGGCTCGTCACGCGGCCGCCGCCGCGCCCTCCCCCGGCCTGTGCCTCCCCCCTGCCCTCCCCGCGCCTCCCCCACGCGCACGCGCGCACGCACCGCCGGCCGCGAGGCCTCAACACCGCCCCATGGCCACGCCCGCTCGGCGCCGCGCGCTTGGCCCCGCCCCCGGGGCTCGCGCTGCCCCGGCGCGCACGTGGTGCGGGAGCGGCGGGAGCGGCTGTGCGGGAATGAGGGACAGCGAGGGACAGCCGGGAGACAGCCGGGGGACGGCGGCGGCCACTGCACCGCGCAGGAACATGAGCCACAACACAGCAGCGCTGCCGGCACTCCTGCGAGTTGGAGCAGCTCGTAGCCGGCTTCTCCCTCCCCGTCCAGGGCTGAAGGGCTCCCGCCCCGGAGCAGCAGAGACTCGGCAGGGCGCGTCCCGCTCTCGCTGGGCGCTCCGCTCGCTGCTGGGCGCGGTCCCTGCCAGCACGCCGGGAAGGGGACACTGCACGGGGCCGCCGGCATCCCCAGGCACCACTGAAATCCGCAGCAGCTGCGTATTTGCTTGCTGAGTTTCAGCTACCTGAGAGCTCCTCAGAGGACTGGAATGTTCAAATACACTCCGGGGAAGATGGATTAGAGGGCGAGATACCCACAGCAGTCAGAGGTCCTGATAAACACAACCATGCGTTGTTCTGCAATGAAACAACCCACTATCGCTACAAAAATTTAACTCTGGCCCCTGATAAGAAAGGCTCTGCAGAAGACTTAGGAACACACAAAAGTATTACAAAACTCTGCTATCATGCTGGCAGTTATTCCAAAGATAAGCAGGCTCAGGGTTTTACTCCATTTTGTAGGAAAAATCCTAATGTTAGCTCTCCCATGTGATGATAAACATGGAGTTTTTGGACAAACCATGTGTAGTTTCTTTGAAGAGAGGAAGTAATAGATGCTGTGTTTCCAGAATTTGTACAACTTAATCCCAGGCACAATTAAGGAACAAACCAAATGATTTATAGTCATGTATGAGGATTATTCCCTCAGACTGATGAATGATACCTTTTCACTTACCAGCAATTTCTCTAAACTCTGTTAGCTAAGCCTGTCTACACGCTACTGACAATTTGCAAAGCCTTGTTACTCCAGAGGAATCTGACCTTGCTGTGGATTGCACGAAGGCCTTAGGGAAGACTTCAGCACTTCTTGAACCACCTCAGGCCAGCTGAAGTCCCTCTGCAGCCTCTGCACCCTGCTTGGAAAGCTGTAGGGCAGCCGGCCCTGCTCCCAGTTCTAGGAAGGGCCAGGGCTTAACTATTGGGTGGAACAGGAGACTGACCTGGGCCAGGGAGAGAAAAAGCAGCTTCATGCAAAATAGCCATTCAGAGACTGGTGTTTTCTTCCCTCTGGCATTGCACCCACTGATTTTTTGTGAGGATGGTGGGGGAGAGAAGAAGCTCGAGGATTGGCGTGGCTTACTGAAGTAATTAATTCTTGAGCTAGAGTAAGAATTGGCTTGCAATATTTGATATGAAAACTGGCATAATTTACTCTTGCATGAGAAGAGCAATGCCTTCCCTTGCTCTTTGCACCTGGCAGACTATTTTCAGAAGCTGGCTGAGCAAGCTGCACTCCTGCTGCACTGCTGGGCCCCTTCCAGTGGCTGCACGCTGATGGAGGTGAGCTGCTCCATCTAGAGCAGTGGTAGGAGCCACAGGCAAATCTGCACACTTCAGCTAGACAGCAGCCATGCCGAGTCTCTGTGGCTAAAGCCAAGTCTGTTCCTTGCAGCCATGCCAGCGTGTGCCGTGGGGTGCCTGGCTTCGGCAAAGGGACGTGCAGCTGCAGCAAGAGCCTCAGGAGATCCCAGCAGCAAGCTGGGACCTCTGCTAACTCTCAGCTTTGGAGCAGCTTCAAGGGAATCCTTTGCCAAAGCTGCGGTTTTGGGCAGTGGAAAATCCTTGTTCAAGGGTGAGGAAGTGAGCAAGAGTGGCTCAGCAGGAAGCTGAGCACCAGGACCCAACAGCCAAAACCCCACATACTTGTGCAGATAGTGAAAAATGCTGGGAACTTGGAGTGGCTGGAGTATGTGACATGCCTCACTGCTATTTGGGGTGAAGGTTTTGGTTCCTGTGCCTCCCAGAGGCTGACATTTCCCATGGGTTTCATACTTGTTCTCAGTGTGTAATTCTGCAAAGGGGGAGTGATGAAGGCTGCTCTTCTCCCGCGCTAGTGCTGTTGTAGAGTATCAGGATTTATACAAACATGCAGAGGGAGGAAAGAAATCAGTAGTCTGCTTCCCTGTGAGGACTTATTCATGTAGGTCTTAAGCAAGAGGAAGCTGACTTTAATCCCTGGAAGTCACAGAAACAGCAAACTCTCCCACCTCCTTGTCATTCCAGGAGAAGTTAAGCTTCCGCTTCCACATACCTCAATACACCAGTAAAGAGTAATTTTCCATATCTCTGCATGTTTTCCTTTAGCTGCAGTGATGAGGAATATTCATTTCCTGCTCCGTTTTGGCAAAGTAACTCTTAAATTCTCAATTCAGATCTGATTTATCAGGATAATATGACAAAACCTGTTGCTGTGTGTATTTTCTGCAGAACCAGGCGATCCTGTTAATAGGTGTAGTCTGAGCAACACCCTGCAGAAATGAAACACATTATCTTTTATTTATGCAGCTTAACATTCTATTGACTTACTGCTATAGCAATACACTGAATACCCTCTATTATGATTTATTACTGGTCCTGGTTCTCTTCCTATTTTCTGTCTCATCTTTCTACTGTTCTGCTTGATTTGCCCCAGTGATTCATCAGACAGTTTCCATTATTTAAAAAATCAATTACTTTGATGTACAATGGGCAGCACGTACCTAGTTCCACATTTTGCATAAGCAGGCATTTTGGATGGCGGATCGTGGCAATAATGAATGCCTGAACTGAAAATAGCTTACTATGGACTGTTGGGATCCAACCTCTTTTCCTCCTGCTCCAGAAAGAGAGGTGTGTGCCGTGAGACTCTCAATTACCACCCCTTGTCTCTGAGCAGGGCACTCAGTGGGCAGCAACCCTCCTGTACTTTAATTTTCACAAAAACGAAAGCAAAGTAACTTTCAAAAATGTGGGAAACGAATCCTATTTAAGCCCTCTCAGGAAGTTGCTGCAAACTTTGGGAGAACTCCACATAGCCTTTAAGGAAGGCCAGACAGCATCTTGAAACAACCCTAAATAAGATTGTGATGATAGCCAAAGGAGTAGTGACCTCTGCTCCTAATATGCAGAGGTTTGAAAGACCTGTGGTTTATTCTGAATATACAAAGGACCAGACTTGCTCCTCATGTTAGTCTAATGAGGTCAGAGGAGCAATACCCTGCCAACTACTCCAAGTGAGGAGCACACCCTGCCAACCACTAAATGCAGCTTCTGAGCTATAAACTTAACTATATGTATAATTATTTGCAGGATGCATAATAAATGAGGACTACCAGGCTTGACAGGACTAATATTAGTGCTACCAGCTGTGTTTTGGCTTGTGGGCTTACAGGGGGAGGTAATTCTGTCTCTTTACTTGGCCCATTTGCTGAGTATATGTGAGCTGCTGTCTGCTTGTGTTCAAAGGAACCCCATTTCTCAGACAAGTCTTTACGTTTCCTGTGATGGTTCCTCGGAGGCAGAGTTGTGCAGGTTTTTATTTAACTCCATCTCTGAAATCTCAGCACTTGAATTCACAGCCACACAACCCTGTTGTCCTTTGCCTCATGATGCAAAACCAGGCTTCCCTGCATCTGCAAGCAGCAGTATCCCTAAGAGGAGTAATAAGTCTTGAAAAATCCTCAACTCCAAGCATATGTTCTTGTCCACAGCAACTGCAACAAGAAGGTGAGAGTCTTCTAAAAGGCTTGAAATTAAATTGCAGGATTTCCTATAAGCCATACAGCTTCACAGTCACCATCAGTCCCAGAAATGGAGAATGGCTCGTTGCACACACTTGGTTGTGCTTCACAGGACCAAGAATCTTAAATTCAGTAAACTACCGTGATTTTCACCCTGACTTGGTACTGCACATGCCTTTCCAAGGTCATGCACCTCCTTGCCTGTCTGCAGGGTGATGACACCAACTCTGGGATGTGTTTTGTTCAATTTCTCCCTTCTTAGAAAGTGTCACAGCTGGGGGAGGAGTGCTTTCTGATCTTACTTGGATAACTTGGAGAAGAGCCAGGGCTTTGTCTTTTCCTGGAAATGTAGCTGCAGGAAGAATGAATCACCAGGTTGAACCTGTATAACCAACTGAAAACAAAAGCTCAGACTTCTGTGTCTCACTTGGAAATAATCAGGGGAAAAATAGGCATCCTGTTTTGAAAACCACTGCCAGCTGACAGGACAGAAATGCTGCACGTGTGATGTCTTTTGAAGCTGACAAGTAATCTAAGACTACAGCCATTTAAGGGAAAAAATCCCTGAGCAAAACAGTGGTTAGGGAAATAGAATATTCCAATGTTTGGAGAAGAAAAGTAACCAGAGAGGTTATTCAGAACAGCCAAGGTGGATTTTTAGTAGCCCTAAAGTTTCACACACTATTAAATCTCCTGTGTTACCTTGGCTAGCACTGAATACAAGCAAAGCAGGGCTGGGGAGCCTATATTTGATAGCATAAGGACAGACTGCAGTGCTGCTGTCATTGATTAAATCCCTCCTTTTGCCTTTGCTGCAATGTAAGATGTCATTACATCAGAAGCTGCTTGGCTGGCATGCGAGCATCTGGATCGCTGCAGGGATACCACAGCACAGGCATGTGGGAGTACGCCTTTCTTTATCTTAGCTTCTCTCTTCTGCTCCTACCTTCGTTTTGTCTTCAGGTAAAATAAAATCAGCTTGACAGTTACCAAAGACTAAGTTAGAATTAATGGAGGCTTAGTACCGGAGAAGAAAATTCGAGATGTGCTGGAGACAAGATGGAGGCCTGCAAAGCTGTACTTTGGGCTGGCAGAACCACTTCAATTTATCAAGTATTAGAAATAGCTGTTACTGCAGGCCAGGGATACAGATTTCTTATGTGGGAAAGGAAAATGCTTTTCAGTATTTTAACACAAATATTAACATGAATAGTGAGTTTATTCAGAAAAGTCTTAACTGTGCATGTGTAAGTCCTGCAGCAAGTTTATTTAGGGTAACCTTCTGCAGTTCTAATTCCAACTCTGAGCCACCAAAGCCTGGGCAGTGGTGCTAAGGAGCCCTCTCTGTTAGTTTTAAGGTACCTGAAATTGCTTAGACTCAACTCTTCCATCTTCTCTATCATCTGCTGGATTTTCTTTCTAAGGACACAAGAAGAGAAACACTGACAATACCATTAGAAATAACACTAAATGCCCCACATTCTTCATATGCTTGGATTCTTCCTTCTTTTAAAAGGGTAACGTGCACTGAAGGAAATGCCTTTTCATCTATATGAATGCTATAGCTGTTATCTGCCTGTCCATATAGTTGTTTTTAAATTGTTTAAAATTAATTGTTAACTAGTTGTAAATTAATACAGTGCATTGCTTGCACTGTAATTTCCTCTCCAATTGCAAAACACTGCACCTATAGAGCACATAATAAATTTCTCCACCTAATGTTAAGCGATCCATACTCAGACTCTACAAAAGGAAGGTTTTTTGTAGCATTTTCCCTGCCTCGTGTCTGTTCCACTTCCCCACCACAGCCCTGTGCTCCTGGGAGTGCTGCTGGAGCAGCCTTTCCCAGGGTGCACCCACGTCTGCTCATGTGTCAGTCTTGCTCCATGGGTTATGGACTCTCCTCTCCCAAGACCTGACACTGGCATCTCATGGCCTGGAAGTTCAGCAGCTGGAGATGTGGGTAAGGCTGTAGGTCTGTGAACGTCTGAAAGTGGGGGGAGGTTTCCAGCAAACGAAGCACAGCTGGAAATCCAGTGATTGGTTGTGAAGACGAGCCTACTCAATTTGCTTTTTGTTCCTTAATTAAAACTTCAGAACAATGTCAGCTTTCAGACCTGCAAGACCTTTGAGAGCTCACACACATAATTCTGCTAAAAGCTAAGTGATCTTCCTGTAACAAAACGCTTTAATAAACGTGGTGATTATATGTGGCAGTTTATCAAGATGCAAGGTTGAAGGCATGAATGTAGTATTATTGATGGGAACAATTCCCTCTTCAGACATTCCAGAAACTTCATGTGTTTCAGCTCAAGCACTTATGAAATTATACATCTTCATATTTTTGATTATTACTTCCACTGTTTAATGTAACTCTATGTGTAAAGGAAATGAAACGCTAGATCGGATTATACATTTATTTCAATATTTCACTTTTTTTGCAAGGATCTTGCAGAAGCAGCAAGTTCTAAGGTCTACTGATAACCCCCCAGTTTCTGCAGAAACTTTTTATTTTTAATTCACCCCATTAGTTTCAAAGATGATCCAAATCACTTCAAGCTGAGGCTGTCTTGATTCTGCAACTGCAAGCTGTCATCAACCAAATTAATCTCTGCTTTATTCCCTTTGTATTTAACAGCAAGTGATTCACCACCCCATCTATTTTATTGGTGTGAAGAATCTGGAAGGTTCTTCTACTGGTGAAGATGAAAATGTAAAACTTGTTAAATCATTTCAGTGCTAATCATTTGAACAGCCACTTACCATGATACATAGGGAGGAAGACTGCTTTCTTTTCTGGGTTTTTCTACAAGCTTTGTGTTAGCTCTTGTTCATTTAGTTGATGAAAGCTCTTAGCAAAACAGATATTTATCCAAACTTTACCTCCAAGACAATTTTCATATTTCAGTGGAATGACAACCAGAAGTAACTGGAGGAAAGGATTAAACCAGAAGTTTCCACACAAATGTAGAACAGAGCCATTTGGAATAAGGCGTTGCTGTCAGAGGGTTATCAACAACACAGGTTTCTAGATGGAGATTAAAAAAATCAGACTGTTTCTATTTATACCTGCCTTTGCCTTGGTAACCAGAGACTGTGTGAGGGATGCAGTATTTTCCCATCATGGATGTCTCCAAAATCCATGCGCAGACATGCAGTGCATCCAGTGTCTGCAGAGCTATCACAAGAAGTGTCGCATTCATTTCTAAGAGGGGATTTTACATACTAAGCAGCAAAGAGAAGATTGCAGAAAGAGGCTTATATTAGTATAGATTCAAAATAATTTGTACTCATTTCTATCTTATCTACTTTGTTCTTTGATCTTTTAAGTATTTCAAGGACCATTGCACTTAAACACTTTTTCTTAATTACTCCAAGCTGCTTACCCAAATCCAGGGTGGTGGGATTTAATCATAATTGGCTACATTATGCCTGCTTTATCAAGCAGTTGAATGAGGTAAGAATGGACTTGAATCGGAGTTTCTTCATACTTTAAATCATTCTTGCTTACCTTAAAATCAGCTGTTTCCTGCTTTGCAAGATTACCTGCAGCTTAGGTGTCTCCTTACAGCCCTCTGCAGTGCTCAAAAGCCAAACCAGGCTATGTTCTCACGACTTCACTGCTGTGCTGAGGAGAAAAGCATTAGCATTTAGCCCTGCTGGGAGAAAAGCATTTCAGCTCTGGGCATCTGTTTTAGCCATAATTCTGCATTGTTGTGTTTTCCTTATCCTTTTACTGTCAGGAAAGGTAGAAGAAACCAAGTGTGTCTCTCTGTCACAATAATACCAGGTACTCCATTTTCTTAGAAAAATAGATGTGGAAAGGTGAAGAGAACATAAATATAGGCTCAGAAAGAATATGGAGAATCAGGGCTCTTACTAAACTTCTAGTGGACCTGCTTCTCTCTTAATAGCGTCACTATCCAGTTATGATCCGGAAAGTAATTTCTGATCTTCTGTCTAAGGCTCATGGAAGTCAGTGCCAGAGCAACTTTATCAGGGAAGAAGGGGAAATATTTCTGGGAAGCAGAGCAGCATTGGTAGAGAACCTGCTGTGCTCCAGAGATATTCTGGGATATCTGACTATCAAAATCACATTATTGGGATAGAAGCACTCACTGCATTATCATCTTCGGGAACAATACATTTTCACATGCAGCCTTTTTTTACTCTAGTTGCTATTCAGCCAGGCACTTGGTCTTATGAAGTACTGCAGGGGAAGAAAACTCATCTGAGGACAGAAAGAAGGCAGCTGGGAGCACTGGAGCCCGACCACACTCCTCCATATTCTGGTTGGAGATCCTAGTGGTGCAGGAGGTGGAGGTGAAAACTTTGTGCCATTTGGGTGTTTCCCTCTATTTGCCTGCTGGTGTACGTTAGGCAGAGTGTAGGTGACTCAAAAAGTCATTCAAACAAAGTTCTCATTTCAAATGTAATGACTCTCATTTCTTTTCCCACACTGCCTATATAAATAATTAAAAAAATTATCGAGATAATAGCACAAGCAAATTCAAACTCTCAGAAGCAGGAATAGTGGCAAGGGACCAGCACTTTAGGACATAAAACCACAGAAAACTGAATCATCACACCTGTTCTGGCATGTTTATAGGGAGAAGTCTGAGTTGCCATAAGACAAGTATGGACTGGTTTGGGGCAAGTGAAATTTTGGGTTCCATTCTGCTACAGTAGCAGAACCCTAAAAACAAGCTTTACTTTCTGCTACCCTGTGCAACCTGTAATTATCCTCCACAGAGGTTTTCATGAAATTTGAGCCACTCTGTTGAAATTGACAGCTTTTAGATGTAACCACATTTGCCTTTGTCTGCCAGACAGATTTGCTGGTCCCTGTGGGAAAGAGAGGGGATGTTTTCTGGAACTGGTTACGGTCCCCAGCTTCGAGGGGCCGGCCTTGCCCCATCGATGGTGTCACCGGGAGCTGTCAGGGCACAGAGTCACTAGAGATGGGGCACATATGTCCCCTGCCCCTGCTGAGGAGCGTGGCTGCAGACACTGCACCTTTCCGTGGGGGACCACGCTTCCCCGGCTCTCCCATGGCCTTTAGCAGTCTTTGGAGCGAGTTCAACTAACACAGGAGAGGAGCACTGTGCTGGTTTGCCAAACAAGAGATTAAATGGAGCCAAAGGTGAAGAGAAGCCCATGCACAAAGAGCACCGGGGAGCGTTTGTGCCCCACCGCCAGCCGAGAGCAGCCCTGGCTGTGCTGCCTCGGGCAGGGCTCGCCGGAGATGCAGAGCTGCTGTTTCTGCGCTGCTCGCCCCGCACTGAGAGCGCTTCCAGGCTGTCATGAGCACTTGCAGAGACAGCGCTCTCCGGGCCGGCAGAGGAGGACGAGGCTTGCTGGGCTGCACAAATGTCTTTCCCGGCACTGACTTCTAACCCCCGAAGCAAAAGCCAGAGGCTGGCACCACAGGCAGCAGCTGACAATGTCCCACAGGGCGTGGGCCCTTTCCCCCGTACCTTTCGGCGTGGCAGCGGCTGTGAGGAGGCGAGGAGCCCCCTCCGGGCCCGGCCTCCCGCAGCAGGCAGAGCGGAGCTTCTCCCTCCCCTCAGGCCGCCCCGGAGCCCTCCCCGCGCCCCCGGCCCCAGCCCCGGCCCCGGCACAGCTCCCTGCCCCCCGCTCCCGCCGCGGCCGCGGGACAGGAGCGCTCCGGGGGGGACCTTCCAGCCCAGCCCAACGCAGCGCAGCCGGGATGTGACCGCCCTGGCTCGGTCGCCGAGCGCCGCCGCTCCCGCTCGGGCGCTGCGGAGCGGCCGCTCCCGCCCCTGGCTGCGGCGCCGGGGGCCGGGCCGGGCGCTGCGCGGCGGCCCCGGGGCTGCGGCGCGGGCGGAGCGGGCGGGCCGGGCCCGGGCGAGGGGCCGGGCCTGTCCCCGCGGCGGCCCCGGGCCTGCCCCTGCCCGCGGCGCGGGGCAGCGCAGCTCGGGCAGGGCCTAGCCGGGGCCTGGGGCTGCGGTACCGGCGGCGGCATGGCCTTGGTGCCTTACGAGGAGGGAGGCGGCTGGGCCGCGCGGCAGCTGCACAGCCCTTGGGCCACCTTCCACTTCGCCAGCCGCACCATCCGCCTCCAGCAGGACTGGCGGCGGCTGGGCGTGGCGGCCGTGGTCTGGGACGCGGTAGGTGCTCACGGCTAGAGCAGCTTCTCTGCACTCGGTGGCTTCCTGTGGCTCTTGTCGAGCTTTCAAATTCACCGTAGAAAATTACTTACCATAGAATTGTAAAGGGAAGGCTTTCCTTTTTTTTTCTTTAATATTAGGAAAGAAAGTGTTAAACCGTGCTTTACTTTTCCCTCTTCCCTGGTAAGAGCTCCTGCAGGAACGCAAGGGAGACGCGCCATCTAAACTCTGCACGGCCAGTGCCCAATACAAGGAAATATTCGGGATAACTCTCACCTCTTTCTTTACAGTGGCTGGTGATGTTAGCTTGCCACCCTTCAGAGCACAGCGTGGATCCCACTGCTTGTAGCCTCGGACAGGACTGATGATAGACTTTATCTTGGCGATAAGAACCGTCCAAAACAGAGGGGTTTGTGGTGGGTCCAAGGCCGTAGGGCAGTCGTTCACAGCATCACTGTAGGAATCCAAGGGCTTCCCATCAGGTTGGATCTCAGCCCACACACAGATTGCATTTTTACTTCTAGTTTAAAAGAAGTGTAGCATTTTTAGCAAACTTCTCAACCCCTCAGTTTTTCCTTTCCAAATACAACTCTTTCTATTTCCTGTTGTGTTTGGGGATTCATGGAGCAGTTACCACATCCGAGTTGCAACCTCTGTGGTTCTTTTATTCCTTTTGCCAGTAGAAGTCTTCCACAAAACTCTATTAAAACTTCCATAAAGCATGAAAAGACTACACGTGCACACGGGACGTGAAGGGCTGAACAAAGTCTTGCTACAGACCTGAAGCACCTGACCCTTCCCATAACCTTCTCTCTGAGGTTAAACCACAAACCCTGTGTTCAGTATGACTGAAACACTGTGCTTAATCGCCCTTGTCCCTCGGCTTAGGCTGTTGTCCTGTGTGCTTATCTGGAGATGGAAGGCATTGATCTCAAGGATCGGTCTGTGATCGAGCTGGGAGCTGGAACTGGATTGCTGGGAATAGTGGTCACGTTACTAGGTAAGGGCTTTTTTGTTGTCTCGTTTAACGCAAATCACAACTTACAAAAACTACTTACATGTACATGCCTGGTATAGAAGTGTGCACCAAAGCTGCATGCATGACCTGTGATGGTTCTTCTCTGAGTCATCTTCCTTCCTCGTTAGACTTGAGAGCCTGCTGGGATATTTGCTGTAGTGATGGTGCCACTGCAGTTTACTTTATGGCGGGACCCTGTTGAGGCTGAGCCTGTTGCCATGGCAGGCAGCTCAGCAGCATTCATCTCCGCAGCTATTCCCCCCCGGGAAAAAGAGCTGTGCTTCCCATCTTCCACTTGTCCTCCGATGCAGATAAAGCTACAGACAGAAACCACTCTCAGAGCTTGCATAAGCCTTTCATTAGCCTGCCTCGCAGACAGGGCATGGAGAAATGATTTGTTGCTGATCTGTCTGTGGCTGAAGAGCAGGAACTGGGTACTATGTTAAATTTGTGCTGTCTTTCCCAGGTTAACTTTGTAATTCAAAGCTCTAGTGGCTGTGAAAGCCCACTGTGTGGCCTATTGAAATAATAGAAACAAAACAGTTTGACAAAATAGAGTCATGCAAAATCATGCAGGCATAACTTTTGTCTGACCTGTGAAAGAAGCTCTAGCTGCCTCTCTCCTACAGAAAAATATGGAATTGGAGCCGGTTAATTGTAATATCCCCTGTAAATTATTTTTTTGGTACATATGGAAAGGCCAAAAGTAACTTCTTGACTTTCATGCATTAAGAGAAAGCACCAGAAAACATGTTTTTTCCCCTACCCAACTTAATCTTCACATAGAGTACACGTTATATTCTTAAGTGACTGATGAAGGGTAGGATGTCTGTACACAGGAGAGTTTTGCTTGTCTTGTTCTTTTGTTTGTTTGTTTTTAATCAGGCAGCTCAGGGGAGCTGTTAATGTTTAACAGGAACCAAGGAGTCCGCAGGAGTTAGAGCATTGTGTCCCCCATGCTCTATTGAGGGACATGGACTGTGAGTGAGCCCTGTCCTCCTGTCCTCCTTAGGTGCCCGTGTTACAATCACAGACAGGGCGGCAGCACTGGAGTTACTGGAGTCAAATGTGCAGGCGAATTTACCCCCTGAACTACGTCCCAGAGCGGTGGTGAAGGAGCTGACATGGGGAAAAGACCTGGATAACTTCCCTCCAGGAGCATTTGACTTCGTCCTGGGTGCAGACATCGTTTATCTGGAAGAAACATTTGCAGAACTGCTTCAGACGCTGGAGCACCTGTGCTCAGAGCGAACGGTGATTCTCCTCTCCTGCCGGATCCGCTATGAGCGGGATCTCCAGTTCTTGAAGATGCTGCGAGAGCGTTTCTCTGTAGCCGAGGTCCATTATGATTCCAGTAAGGATGTTCATATCTACAAAGCACAGAGGGGTAATCGCAAGGATGACTTTTGACTCTGCTTTGTTAATAAGCCACTGATGCTGTTCAATTCTCCCCTGTGTTTTTACTCAATACACTCTTCCTAAGCATGAAGTTGCAGTTGTGTTATTTCCCTGGCTTCTTGTTCTGCTGGTCTTGTCTGATCACTGGGTCTTATACAGCAAGGTTTGTACTTCCCTTCTGCAAATCGAACCTCTGCTTCCTTTCTGAATAGAGTCGTATGGGTATTCCACTGTATTTTTATCAAATGTAATTTTTGAAACTGATTCAAATTGAAGAAATCTCCAGCATCAAAATTGTTATATCAAAAGGTCTGTTGTCTGAAATCAAACCACATTTAACTTCCGGGGAAAACTTAAAAATTCAGATTACAGTGGAGTTTTTTCCTTTTATCACTTCCTTAACTCTAGAAAAGTAAGAGTAGATGAAATAAAAGCTGAAGTTCCAGCTCTAAATGCTTTAACTCTTCGGGACTTCTTCATCTTAGAAGTTGTGGTAAAAGAAACCACTTAAAAGGCAAAAAGAAGCAAAGGCAGATGCTATAAAGTTGTTCTATTGCTGTCACTGCTGCGTTGAAGAGGTGCAGTGAAACAAAGAATAAGATCTGGAGAGATCCCTGGGAACAGGGATTGCCAAGTAAGCCAGCTTAGAAATCAGTGGTATTTTTCCCTGACTTGCAAGCAAGTGGGCTATGCCTGCAGTACCGAAGCAGTTGTGGTTTCTGAGTTGTCCCTAACAAGCCCGTCTCACACAGATCAAGGCTCCTTGGAGGAAATACACATGTCACCGGGAAAGTGCAACAAGGAGACTCAAGCTGTTCTTAAAATATCAAATCAGCCCTTGACTCTCAAAGTACTGCTAGATAATGTTCTACTTTGTGCCTTTGTTTGTGCTCGCTCTGTCTCTGAGAGCTGTTATTTAGGAAAGGAGAGTGCTCTGTAAAGCCTTCGTAGCAGAGGAAGTACTTACTCTTGCATTTCTTGGGACCTTGGGGCAGTGGCTAGGTTTCAGTGTGCTTTCAGTACACAGTGGTAAAGACACTTTTCTAAGTAACAGATTTCATACCCTGAGCTTGTAAAACACATCTGTGTTTATCCCACAAGATCTGGGAGTCCGGCTCGCACCAGCAGCAGACTTCCTTCTCTTTCTAGTGGTGGAAGAATGAAACTGATGAAAACAATGGGCTAACAAGACAGCTACACCTCTAAATGCAACCTTTTTTTTTTTTTTCCTGTGGATGTGGAAACTTTTTGTTTTAAACTCAAAAAGCCTCAGGTCGGGCTCAGACTTGGAGCATGTGCATGTATTTGGCACTGGCAACAGCAAACAGCTTTGCAGAACAAAGCAACAGCTGCTTTGGGCCATGGACATTTTGGAACATTTTGTCACTTTTGCTGTAAAATTACACATTTATCATTAAGGTTTTTGCTTCATCCCTGGCACATCTCTTGCATGTTTTCAGCGAAGTTCCTTGCTTGGCTCCTGTCTGGGAGTTGTTGCTGTAACAGTATCCTCAGAAGCCACACGGTGTCACTAAAACAGTATTTAGGCAGCTGGCTGGGAATTAGCAGCCTGAAACTGGAGTTGGAGTCAGTTTGGGGGAAGACAGCACCTTTAATTGAAAACAGATCATAAGATGAGCTCTCACGTGTCAGGTGTAGCTTCTTCTGTGCTATCAGCTGGGTGAGCCGTGGTTGAAAAGAATTACGAGCTCTCTCTCCTGTCTCTGGCTCTAGTTTTCGAAGTGTAGCTGTAAGTTCTCACCTATTCTCTTCCTCTCCACTTGGTGTTTCCTTGTGTCCAAGCTCGTCGGGGATTAGGCATTAGGCTCCTGTGTAGCTCAGGCGCCCCTTGACTGGAGCTGGCAGAAAGCAGTGTGCTGGTGCCTGGCTCTTGAGTGCCCAAGAGAACTTTTCTGTGGGAAAAGCCTGGCAGTGCTTGGCCCTTGCAAAAGGCTGGAGCTTGCAGCACTGAGCCATAGCAGCTTGCACTGTTGCCATAGCAGGAACATGCTAAAAAGCCTGCTTAAATAGCACAGAATAAAGCACAGGATAAAGGCTGGTGCAGTAACCTGCACACTTCTAAGGGCGTTTTGCCCCAGGCCTTGCTTTGACGATAGAAACAGTTTTGTACTTTTAAAACAAATCAGTTTAATTCCATCTTTTTCTAATGTCTAAGTTTTCAGTGTCAGATTTCCCATTGCTGCTGTTACAAGCCCACAGCCATCCTGTCAGCACAGGCATGTGCCAGTAGAGACCAGGCTTGGCTTCTTTTGCCGTGCTGCTGGTACACAGCAGCTGTACGCACACCCAAGGGAGTATGTTTGAAGGCTGAAGTGATGCTACTGCCCATAAGTAATTGTGGAGAAAAGCACGAGATGGCACTGCCAGCTCAGGTGAGTGCCTTGCCCCTGACCTGCAGAGCTCTTGGTGGCCCTTCCCCAACCCAGCAAGTGGCACCCCCTCAAGGGGACACCTTCTCTGACTGCTACTGGGGTGCAGGTCCTGTTAGATTTAGGAGACCAGATCCAGCAATACTGCAGTTAGGCCACAACCATGTGCATGCAGTTGTGGTTGCATTCAAAGCTGCAGTGTTTAGGGGCAGGCATCAACCGTGAGAATGTAAAACCCTGAGAATGTAGCTCAGCTGAAACCCGCAGTCCATCCCCGCTGGGCAGTGCTGACACCTACGTGCACCAGACAGTGAGCGCTGCCTTCTGTTGTCCCAGGTTGGGCTTCACAGGTTTTTTGTATTGTCATACTCACCTTCAGGGAGAGGTCAGGAGTGAGTCAGGCAGGAGTGACTCAGGCCAGGCGTGTAGGACAAATAGCAGAGGTGTGACTGCTGGTGAGTGAGCACAGGGAGCAGCCCTCTGCAGCGACACGGCTGTCCCAGGCCACACGTCCCACGGGAGCTCCTGCTCTAGAGTGAGATGATGCATGACAACAGCTGTTGCCAGCAGCTGTTTGGCAATTATACCAACGCCCTGCCCAAGCACTTTGTCACCCTGTTCATTCCAGCACTCGAGAATCCCACTCTCCTTTGGGTGGTTCCATTGCACTGATGCTGTTTTGTAACAGGCGATCTGAGCTCATCTGTAGAAGGATGTGTTTCGCATGTGTCCCTGAGTAGTGGGGCAATGCTAAAATAGTCTCTTGATAAATTCAATTGCTCTAGGGAGTGGGTCCCAAACACAGGAAAGTGACCAGGTAAGACACAACCATGCTGTGATACTGAGAAACCATCCCTGAAACACGTGCAAGAGAACAAACTTTTGTGAAATGTCACTGCAACCAAGGTATTGATTGATATTAAGGTTCATAGCTGACTACACAGGGATCTGTGTTACCCAGCTCTTTTCAGTGTAAAATTCAAGCCAAACTGCATCTTTATCTCAGGGACTAACCCTGTTTGGGATTCTCTCTCATGACTGTAGATTTTTCTGAGCAAGAACGTGAATGGCATTATAAAAACTAGAAAATCCCAGCTGTAACGAGCTGACCTTACTGCTTTCTCCTTGATTTCATTGGAGGTGTGTTTACCTCAGTGCTGAATTTGTTCTCCTGGCTTCCATCCCAGTGTTTGGATCCAGCCTTGCAGATTACATAATAGGGTTGTGATCCTTGCAGTGTTTGCTGCCTTCTGTTTCTGTTCTGTTATAAAGACCAGCAGTACATGGTTTACAGGAATGCTTAAAAGTGAGACATGCAGCATATTTAAACTGTGAAAGGCATAAGCCTTTTAAACATTATTAAACGACAGAACTGCCACCAGAATGGATACTGGAAAGCAGGTTTAAAAATACCATGAGGAAGAGAAACCTTGTTTTTCAGGACTTAACTGACTAATCTAATTCAATTAAGGTTAAAAAAGCCTTCTCTTTGGGGAGAATACTTTATGAATACTTAGGGCAGGGCACAGATTGAGAGGACACCACAGACTGCTCAAAATATGCTTTTTCCCATATTCCTCTACCATTTGCCACTAAATTAAATTAGTGTAAATGGAACACCCTGCTCAAAAAAGAGACTTTGTAGAGTTTTTTAAAGCATGTTTATGTGACTGCACATAAATGTTTGTGTAAAAAGGGAGTTATGACAGTTTATACCACAAAGGTTACAGTAAGAAAAAGCACTTCTTTATGACAATAATTCACAAATTCACAAGAATCACTTTAATATACAAAGCAATTACTACCATTCTGAAACACAAAGCAGCTAATATGTACATAGTGTTAATAAAATGCATTATAACCCAGTACAATTGTTTTAAACACAGATAAAGCACAAAAAAAAAGGGAAAAAAAGAACACAACAGGGATGTTTCTAGATTTTTGGGGAGATGTAAAAAAGTATTTATTTTCCCCCAATGATTTTCATTTAGTCTTTTAACTTCCACAAGTATGTGGGAGTCAAACTCAAATACCCTGTTCTGTGCTGACATGGTTTGGGTAAAGAATCAGAAATGCAGATGAGGTGAACATACTCTTTCCAGCTTACACTACAAAGGGAGAATAATAACCCTCGCTCTGGAAGCTTCCCTGAAAAACATTGTTTCAAAACAATTTCAAATTATAAATCCAGAGTAGAAACAACTAATTTCTGAAGTAAACAACCAATCTGTGGACAAAAGTTTGTGGAGGGTTTGGCTGCCAACTAGCACCTCTTCTTGCCCTGTTCCCATCCCAAGAAGTCCATTATAAGCAGCACAGTTTCAAATCTCATATAAACTTGAAGTTGTAGAACTTTTTAAAATTAATGTTTTAATATAAATAAATGTAATTAAACACACAAAAAATGGAGTGGCACCTGGATAAAACACAACTTGTGGAGAGCACCCAAACATCCTCAGTTCTCAAGAGTGACCATTTCCAGGTGAGCGTCCCCATGCTCTCACTCAGCTATCCCCTAATTTAGAGAAACATGCAGCTGAGGCTGAGTGAACTGCTCGAGTCCTGAGTGCAGGGAATGCTCAGCTTATGGAGTGTGCCAGCCATGGGTCATTCCAGCCTGGCCCTGGCCCTTTCCCTGCTAGCACACAGCTCCGAGGGCAGCTGACTGCTCCTGCCTCTCCTGCTGAAAGCGAGCCCTGAACTCAGCACAGAGCAAGTCACAAACCTGCACTGGCAGTGCCAGAAACCAAACAGGTCACTCTCTTCAATTTGTGCTGTGCCAACTAGCCCAAGCACATCTCTTTGCAGGCCACAGC